GAGCAATAATGATCATAACAAAGTTAAGCCAGCCAATGCCACAAGCAAAACTAAACCACAAGAAGTGGTAAACATAGAAGCAACATGAGGCACATAGAGCAAAATGCTATCGATGAGGGTTGGATCTAGAAGAAAGAGCGAATTCCTCATAATATGACGAATTAAAGTTTGAATTTCGCTGGAAGAGGTATTCACATTTATTGCTTGATAGTGTTTTGAATAAAATTATCTCTAATAGAGAATATCTATGTATAGCAACAAAAAAAAAAAAAAGAAGCCCACATGGCAAATGCCCAGCAATTGAACCCACATAGCAAAGGCCCAGCAATTGAAGGGGACGACCAAAATACCGAAAGCTCAACTACGGAAGTCCACAGCCTTGATGACTCTAAGAATGTTCCCAGATCCAATTCTCAGCCAACCCCCTGGATTCCCAGCAACCAATTCAACGTAGTCACAACACCGAGAACAGCACCTTTTTTACGGCCCGACATGGCCATTTTCTGTTTTTTGGGTTAAACCCCTTCGAAGTCCTTACCCTTTTAACGTGCTGCAGTTTTGGATTCACGCTCTTTTCTTTTCGTTAAATCTGTTTTCACCGATTTCAAAATTATCAGGACTAACGTTTTGAACAGTATAAGGGAAAGGGACGAAGAAGAAAAACAAAATGAAATAGCATAAGACTTTTTAAGTGCATGGAAACTTATAGTCAACTCTCTTCTTTTCCACACCACCTTAATAACAAGATTCACAGAGACTGAGCTTTGTTTCCCAAAAACCCTTCACAAGCAAGGCTTCAGCGTTGAACTCTCACCCAACTCAATGAAGCTTGATATTCCTTTGAATCAGAGTCCTAATTGGCTTCTTTTCTTTCTCTCTCCATCCTTTGAATCAAGTTAGGCAAAACCACCGCCGATTATTCCTTATTTCTTCTTCATGTCTTTCCACCATACTTAGCACCAACCGAAGAGAGGTCTTGCTATAACCTCTTGCAGCGATCACCAAATCCCATGAAGAAGTCGGCAAAAGACAAAGATTAAAAAAAAAAAAAACAAAAGGGAACTATCCAAGTCAATGGTGAAGAATCTCTCCCCAAGAGCGAGAGATAATGAACTAATTTTCATGCTTTAAAAAATAATGTAATTATTTTAGCCAAGAATGGTACGAGAACTGTTTTCATCAGCTATGGTGCAAGAATTACTTGTAGGGAATTGAAAGACGACGCGCAGTGGAAATCAACTTAAAAATTTTAAAACTTTCAATCCCTTGCCCAGATCTACCGTTCGCGTTTAAGTCAGGTAGTAAGAAGTATTACCTTCGGTGTTCGATTTCCTGGTGGCTCGGTGATTCTGCCGTTCAGGATGCGTCTGCTCGCCTCCTTTGTCGTTCGAAGTCGACAACTCCTGTCGGCTTCCTCTACCAGTATCCACACGAATAGCTCTCCGGTTACAAACGGCTTGCTAGCACCCTTTTTGTCCGTCTAGGGTTTCTAGAGAATCCATCCACTCTTATCTCTCTTAGGCTGTCTCTTATCTGTTGGTACTCTCACGCTTAAAACCCTAGCTCCTCATATCAAATATATAGGATGCTATAGGTTTAATGAATAATATTTAATTTCGAAATTAATTCTAAATTAATTCCGAAATTAATACAATATCAAATATTGCCTAATCAGATAAGAGAACAATTAAATAAATATGGTTTAAATTAAATCCGTCTCACAGATTTAATTCACCTATTTATTTAATAAAGATATGACGGAATTAATTTATATATATTTAATTTATCCTTATAAATTAAATCTAACAATTAATATCTCTTACATTTATATAATATATATATACGAATTTATATATATATATACACGTCCACCCTATATTATTCATTGAATCTGGACATATCTTAGATTCAATGAATATGGACATCATAACTCGTGTTGGGCTATTTTGTGTGCGACCCTGTAGGCCCATATGAAGTTGGCAGTGGGCCATTAACTAAAATGACTCACAAGTCATAAGCGGTCTCTAGCAAGACATCACGACTACCCAAATCATATGAGGATCGTTGAACGATGTAACCTTTCATACAACCATATCGTGTCCCTTTTGTCACACGACATTTTGGTCATGGATGAGGCATGGAGAACGTCATCCTCCTATTCATGACCATTACTTTCTCGATCCCTGAGTAGTCTGAGTATAAAAACGGAACTACCTTTCCATTATAGTATGGCCATACATTTCTCAGACTCACTCATCGAGGGGCCCAGTAATATCTCTCTACGAATGTGAGGGACAAATTCTATTTTGACCATTCACATTCCTCCGCATGAAAAACCACTAAGCCTGAACATAGTCTTTATGATCACTCGGTCAAAAGCGACTTTTGACTAGGTCAAAGCTGAGCTTTTCTCATGTAGGAATCCATGACGATCTCAGGTCAAAGGGCACAGTGACATGGTTTATATATGAGAGAAGCTTATGACTTAACCCATGCAGCTCTCTCATAGCGGGTCGATCCAACACCTTGTACTCTTACATGTGCCTATGACTTTAATTTATATCTCTATATATCTTTAAAGTCATACTAGTCTTATTTCATCTTTGCTCCCACATAGATGACCGACCAGGGACATTTAGGATAAACCATGAGTTATCCAAGGATAGTCATCACAGTAAACATGCAAATAATATGATAACGTAATTAATAAATTCATAAATTAACAATGATTGGCCCCTAGGGCACAATTTCCAACATTACTTTCATCGCAAAAACATATGTAAGACACATCAAATATTGTTCGATCAAAGTTGAGTTAAACCTGTGACTTTTTACTTACTTTTTGGCTCGGGTCTGACTTGATTAAAAATAAGCCAGTTACAATATGAATTAAAATAGTGAAAACCAGACCAGTCATTGAATCGGTAAAAGCAGTGGATCAAGAGTTGTTGGGTCAGATTGGAGTCAACTCAAGATAAAAAATAATTTAAATTTCATTAAGAATTAAATGTCAATTTAGTACCTTGCATAACTAATAAAATAATCATATAATTACAATTTCTTTCCAACTTCTTTGTAATTCCTTTTATGAATTAAAGTCACAGTATCATATTATTAAAATCACTAAATATTCATCATAACAAAATATAAAAATACATATATGATAACAAAATATTCTTCCTTACTGTCATTCAATCACTAAGTTCTGATTATTAATAACTTTTTTTAAAAAATCATCAAAATAGTTTTTAAAAAAACAACGGGTTCACCAATCAAATTGGTTGGGTTACCCACATAACCCGAGTCATGCCCAGTCACCTCAAACCCGATTTCTATGCCCAATTGGACTAGTTGCTGAGCCAGTTCGTTAGCTTTTGGACTGAACTGGTAGGTTCAGTCCATGTTTCAATGCCATGCATGGCATACAAAATGAACGAATATGGTTATCTAAAGTATCTAAGCTCACGCTTACCAAGGCCCCCCCGGGGCGGCGCTAGGCATGTATACCTTTTTATTGAAAGCAATTTTGTTTGAGATATTATCAGGTGCTAAATATAAGTATTTCTTCAAGCAGAAATTTAAATCTTAGTTTACTATGTTATGGGACTAACTTTTTTCGCTAGACACAATTCTGTTGGTCAGGCTTATCAAGCTTTGATAATCTATTAGCTTACACATCAATCAAATGTCAAAAATAAAATTTATAACACGAGTTGCATATGAATTGAAGGCTAGCACAAGCAAACTTCTAATCCTAAGAGAATAAACTCTTCAAAACCATTCTAAACCTCAAAATCATCAAAACCCCAAATTTATAGGGCTTTGCCAAAACTATAGCACACTCTTGAAAAACCACAACAAACATCAAGCCAATCCATATTAGAATATCAAAATTAGTTTAACAATTCTTAACGGAGCTTAATTAGTAATTGGTGGTGAGATTTTTTTTTGGTTTTTTTTTTGGGGACTAGATCATATAGAGTTTAAATAAAGTTAGGGGAAAAAAAAAACGGTGGACCAACCAACGCCAATCCTGTCATTGCATTATCTCAATTCTTAGCCAAGCGTGCACCCAGAAGATAAGGGGTACGTTTCGTAAAGAATTTCATTTGCATTTTTTAAAAAAAAATAAAAAGGAGGAAAAAGGAATCAAATGAAATTTGTTTTTAGAATAAATAGATTATAAACTATAAAATATTTTAGAAAATGTTTCAAATAAAATGTTTTGAAAAATGGTAAATGGTCTGGCTTTTCAATAAATAATGTCATGGAATAAAAAATGTCGTGGTTGATGTTACTGCGATAGTGAAATATATGCTTACGTGTCATATAAAATAAAATAATCTCAAACATCAATTCATATTTTAGTGCCACGTGTTGTCAAATATGCGATTCCTTTTTGGATCTTCTTCATTGCTTGTAACGTGCAAGGGCGGAAGCTGAAATATATAAACTCCAAACTTAATTTAAATTTATCGGAAATATATAAACTCTATAGAATGAAAAATAAATGTTTGCGTAATTGATTAATTAAAACTCCAAAATTTATAATATAAATAAAAGTTTTAAATGACAAAATGTAAATTATCTTAAAATTTAGATTTCAAGTTCAAAATTAAATATTTTTTCACCCTCATCATCTTTGTCATCCAAAAATAAAATATTCACCCATCAGAGGTAGAAAAATATACCTCTATTTAACTAGAATAGAAAATTTATTGCTGGAACAGTGTGAATGAAATTTTAACTAAAATTTTATAAAAAAATTCCACGTGATATGCCTCTTTCTAATGTCACTTATTATAATCTATTAAAAGATACTCGTTATCATAAAAATAAAATTCATTTTATAATGTAAATTATACTATAAAATGGGTTTTATATTTAGGACATAAAGAATATTTATTTCCCAAGACATCCCTAAACACCCGATGGTTCATATGTTACTATATATATTGAAGCTCCAAGTTAACATATTCACATTCCACGTAAAGCTTATCCTCCATAGCCATACATACCTTATCTAGCAAGCCAACAATGAAGACCAAAGCAACAGCAAAATTCTGGTTTCTCTTTCTCTTTCTCTTCATCTCCACCAGAAGATCTGTTCATTCAGAGAGAGTTGATCTTGTGAACGACTCAAAAGGCAGGGCACTGTTAATCGATCGAAGCTACTTCATCTTGCTCGACAATGGCGGATCCATCACAGCCGTTGATACAAGCTTCTGTCAAATCTCAGTCATTCAACTACTTCACAACATCACGATACCTTCAAAGATCTCAATCTCACATGACAGCTTCGGCTTCATCACCACTGGTTTTCCCATATCCATATCGTTCCCAAGCTTCACAGTTCCTTCTCTCTGCATCAGTTCTAACAAATGGGTCGTCGTCAAGTCAAAACCTTTAGGCAAACATGTGATGGTTGGTGATGAAGCAGATTATGACAACGTTGTTTGTGGTTCTTTCTATTTGAAAACATATGATTACGATAAAGGATATTACAAGCCTGTGTTCTGTGAGGGTGAAGGTGAATCTGATTGTACACACATTGGAGTTCAGTTTGACGATGAGTATTTTAGGCGTTTGGTGGTCACAGATCATTTGGAGCCTTTGATATTTAAGTTTGTGATGGCTGAAGATGATAGCTTTGCTCTTGAAGATTCGTCCATTGTTCGTACGTGGTGATGTAGATTCAAAAAGAAGAAATATGCTAAGGGTGAATCTCAATTGTTGTGAGTTTGTTTTCTGAAGTTCACTTAACAATAGTAATTGTGATAATATGATTTGTTTCTTTTTTTTGGCTGTTCTGTGAACCATTTCTATGTCTTTGGAATTGGAGTTTCCGGGTTGATGGAATCATAAAACAAATCAAACACTTTCTAATTAATTAGCTTGACGCAGAATCAGTTTCTTAATTCCTAGTTATATATTTGCTGGAAGGTTGAATTAGTAAAGATAATGAAGTACTACTTTCGGTCCCTAGTGTAAAACCTTATTTGATTTTTATTTTGGTCCTAAATATAAGACCCCAATCCACTTTGTCTCTCATATTTATGCATTTTTTCTAATGTAATCCTTCTAATAATGATAGTTTTAGTCAATACACTTGATTAGTAAGGATATTTTAAGAAAAAACAACACCTATTTATTACAAATAACTAATTTAACTTGTTTTTTTAATCTCCTTAAATTAGTCAACTCGTTCTTATAATTAGAACAAGAGGTAATAGTTATAAATGGGTGGCCTTAAAATCTATATACAAGGGTCTTGGAATCCTGGTTTTGAAAATTGAGGCAGACCGGACTCACTTGTGGCTCGGTTTGGATTGAAAAAACTGTTTTAATGATCGAGTTCAGTTGAACAAAAATTAACCGCCATTAAGCTTAAACGGGCAATGGTTTTTAGAGAATCAAATGAGTTTTGGGCCAAACGAAAGAAAGGCTGAAAAAATTTTAAAAAACCATTAAAAAATTCACCCTATTAAAAGACTCAATGCATGTCCGCACAATTTATAGTTTATTTCGTTAAAAAGCTCGTATATTGTGGTATTATTATTTTGACAATTAGACTATTATAGATTTATTTTATATATGTGTATATGAATATTAAATGCATATAATTATTTTTATTTGATTATTGTGTTATCAGTTCAACCATCACTCGTACTAGTTAAATTAAATCATGAAAGTCGAGACCTACAGGCTAGACCAAATTCTTTCAAATAAAACAAATTGGTTATGAATAGCAACGAATTTAAATGATATGGATGACATGTTCATCTATTTGCGCGAGTCAAGAATATACAATAAACTCCTCCTCAGAGCTTCACACATGGTAGCTAACGAAGTGATCCACTCATTAAAGGATTGGATTGAATAAATATTTCGTTCCGTGATTTTATTTTTTTATATAACTATTAAATTGGGTTATATTTGACTACTGTCGAATTTAATTAGGGGTAACTCTTCCAAGGTGTTTTTTGGCTTTCACACAGACTCGACCTCAAGACCTTGCACTTAAACGGCTAAAACCTCTTTCACTAGGACCAGTTTTTTGTTGGTTTGCCATTTTTTCCTTAAACAGAAATTGAAGAAAATTTTTTGTCAATTATTTTAAGATGAAATTGGCCATAAATTTCTTATTGAAAATTTATTTTGAGAATGTTCCATGGAAAGAATAATGTAAAGCAGTGAATCTAAAAATTTTTCTCTCTTTGATGAGCATGAAAACTAGAGAAGGTACAAAGTCTTAAAGCAGAGGAAGCAAGCAAATCTAGAAAATTGAGCATTTTATTCGTTGAATTGAGTACACTATCTGGTTCTGTATATATAAGACAGAGTGTGCAAGTGGTACCCCGCATGCAGCCTTAATAGTATTTTCTAGAATACATCATAAAGTATCAAGTAAAACTAAACGGGCTAAGCAACACTAAGTTACTACACATGTGATTGTGGGCTTAGATTTCTGTAATGTTGCTCTAATAGCCCATGCAAGTCAAACGACATCTAAGTGACAGTGAGAGTTGAGCACAAAAATTTAGACCTGGGGGCATTAAAGTGGCTTGGTAAATGTGTTTGCAATTTGACCTTTTGAATAGACAATTGAAATCTGCAAAGCCTTAGCTGCTACCCTTTCTCTAACAAAATGATAATCAAGTTCAATATGTTTGGTTCTAGCATACATGATAGGATTTGCAGTCAAATAAGTAGCACCAATATTATCACAACAAAGTGTGGGAGCTTTAGGAAGAAAAATGCCAGGTTCACCCAACAAAGTTTGCAGCTAGATTAAATCACAAGCAGCTAGGGCCAGAGCTTTATGCTTTGCTTCGGTGGATGATCTAGCCATTGTAAGTTGTTTCCAGGAACTCCAAGAAATTAAATTTGGACTAAAGAACACATAATACCCCCCTATGAATTGTCTATTATCAACATTACCACTCTAGTCTATAACACCCCAAATTTTTTGACTTAGAAAAAAATAGAAAAGAAAAATTTATTTAAAATTACTGAAAGTTTAAATAAATTGGGAAAAATTATGGAATAATTAGTTTTGTGGACTTAGAAATTTCATGGAAAAGTTTATTCTTCAAAAAGTGGCTTAGATAATTTTAAAAGCTATTTCTAGAACAAAAATGGTTGAATTTCTGAGAAAATTATAAGAAAAATGCCTAGAGGTTTATATTTAATCTGGAAATTTTCGAATCATTATTTGATGGAAAAAAGGTGCTAATACAGGTATAAAATCCTTAAAATGAATTAAGGATTTCTAGAATTAAGGGCTATTTTTCTAGGAAATTTAAGAAAAATATCTAGGAGATGATTTTGACTCGAAATTTTCAGGGACATTACTTTATGAGTCAAAGAAGCTAATAGATAAGGAAAATCCATTGTAGAATAATTTTTGGACTTATTCTATAATTTCAGAAAAATCGTAGGAAGGGGGAAATGGAAATGGAAAAGAAAGGAAAGATATAGAGGGCACAATGGTCATTTCTCTTACTCTCACACGTGCCCATCTTTTATTAACACCGAAAACTCCCTTCCATGAGTCCATCTTCATTTCCGTGTCTGAACCTCGAGAGAAAAGAGAGAGAGGGAGCTCCAGAGGAAGACCAGAGAAGAAGGTGACGAAGACGGTGATCGGGGAGGATTTTTCTGCATGTAATCCATGTTTTCAACCAAGGTGAGCCTGCTGAACTTCCTTCCACTCTTGTTTTCTTGATCTGTGGCTTAATAAGGTGCAATGGTTGAGTGAGAAAATTTGGTTATTGAGAGAAAGTGAAGGGAAGGAGAAAAGGATCGGTGAATGTATGTTTGTTGGTAAGATTGAAGTGTGCAGAAGTAGCTTTTCTGGTTGCATGTTGCTGTTGCTTCTGTTCTTGTTTTGGTCGAACGGGGGAGGTTGATTTTTTCTTTTCAGTTTTGGGCTATGGATTCTGGTTTGTTTTGGGAGTAAAAGTAGATTCTCTGGTTGCATAGAATGGGTTGGTTGTATGTGGGTTTTCTTCAATCTGAATGTCTTCTTAGTGCCTCGATTTTGAGCTTAACCGAACAGAATTTTTCTTTAGTGGATTGGCGTGTGTGTGCTGATTCTATAGCTTTCCGAATCTGGGTTGTGATTTTGAAAGTCAAATGTTCGTTTAAGGGGTCCCTCCATGCCGTCAAGTTGTGAAGCTAGTGAGAAGTAGTAGGTATGCGTGTGTGTGTGTGTATCCGAATGGTTGCTCTGTTTTAATTCGGCCAAACAGGGGTACCTGACTTGAAGAAGTTGAAGTCAGATTCACGCATGTGTGGAAAGAGTTCTGTTCTGATTTGTAAATGACATACGAACATATAGAGGAGCTTAAAAACATAGTTTAATGGGTAGAAAGAATATTATATCAGTAGGTGATGAGTGGTTTCAGTTTATAGGACTAGAAAGAGCAAAACACGTTTTAGATAAATGCGTAATTGAATTCAAAAGTCCACATTTCATGAAGAAGCTGAGATTAATAGAAAGTATAGCAATGGTCCATATGTTTTGTGTGTGAGTAGGAGATGTGATATATAGGTTTATAGATGTTTGAAGTAGCTAAGAATGTTTAAAGGTTCTAAGCTAGTTATTTAAATATTGTTCTTGATGTGAAAATTTTTAGATTTAAATTGAAAAGAGTGTTTGAAGTTTGGGGTTCAAGTTTTGAAGATGGGATTGATTGAAAAATAGAAGTTAGAGAGAGATCAAGTTTAACTAAATATGGTTATAGAATTTTAATATTAGAAGAGTTTATTAATACGAATACCATATGTGTGTCTCGGCCAAAGTTTGTAGAAAGTGACATGAATATTATTGGTTGAGGCTGCTTGAGGTTTTCAAATGTTGGATGGGAATTTTAAACGGGTAGATTAATTATCATGGTATTTAGAAATTATTTCAAAGGTATACATTAGGAAAATTCTTAATGGCACATTCAGTGGCTAATGTATGGGACAAAATTTGTAATTGACAGAATTTGTGAGAAAGATTGTTTGAGGACAGCAAATTTAAAGTTAAGAAGATTGAAAGGTGTCTAGAAGTTGAATTGCTTCGCTTGTTTAATTTGGATTTAAATATTGATTAAGTAAATATATATGTTTACGAGCATGTCTTGGTTGAAAACTATTAAAATTTAAACTTACTTGACTAGAACTCAAGTAAGCAAACTTGTGTGTGAATGGTTAGGATGAGTGAGTGACCAATTACTAAATAAAGTAACTATTTGGGGTTACAAAAGAAAGAAAAACCATTCAAAAAATATATTATGAATAAGAATAGTTGTTCATGATGACTAACAACTAAGTAAGGGTGGAGATTAAAGAAGATTTAGGATTTAAACGAAGATATTTAATTTATGAAATATAGTTAGACTAAGCATTAATTTACTCTTACGAATATGATATGTTTTGATATCTATAAAAGCCCACGACAAAAGCAGAAAGGAAGGAAGAGTGTAAGGTTTGATTTATAAGTTGAAAGTCTAGGTAGTAGTTCTTTTCTTTTTTACGCTTGTGTATGATTGCTACATGTCTGTTTGTATCATATTGTTGTTTTAAAGCTTGAGAACATGTAATCCTTAATTCCTTGCATGGATTGTTTAGCCGTGATCATGTGTAGCTGATAGATATATGGTAATATTTATTAATTATTTGCGAATTATTTATTCAGCTTATTTATTTGTCATTACGCATAAATGATTAATTGCATTAGCTCACAAGGTTATGCTCCACTTGGCTTGTTTTGTATGCTTTATGTAATCTGCACAATTATTTGA